GTGTGTGTGTGTGTGTGTGTGTGTGTGTGTGTGTGTGTGTGTGTGTGTGTGTGTGTGTGTTGTAGGGGAGAGTAAAATCAAAATTCTACACAGAACAAATTTACCGGAATTTGCATGGGTTGATTTATGTCTGTAGAGCCGCAGGGCAATTTAATTTATTATCTGGTTTGGCTGACAAGCGCTCAAGCGTTATAGCAGCAAAATTTTCAGACTGCTAGAAAGTAAACCGTATTGAGCAGGAATAATACGGACGATTACTTTCGTCGCGTTTTGCATTCATGTGACCGAACGCTAGGTATAGTGCTTTTATTTTTTTTGTCGAATGCCGATCGTAATCTCACTGAAACGTGTTATTCAATAGTGCGCACAAACGTGCATGTTCGTTCAAATGTAGTTAATTTTGAAGTAATTTCGAGGATTTAAAGCAGAGAAAGTAGTATTCGATCTTATTCTCTCTGTCGAACTCTGTACATTCTGTACTTCTGTACTTCTGTATCGAGCTCTGTACATTTAGTAAAATTAATTCGTACTTTAGTGAGATTAGCTACACGTAATTTTTCGCGCAATGCCACACATGTTTCGTGTGTTACGTGGTTATAACTGTATAATAATTAGGTTGTGGGTATTGTTCATCTCGTGTTCCAGTAATCACACGGCGCAAAGTGAACGTAGCTACCAACACGTGTCTCCGGAATGATTTATGCACTGTTAAATGTCATTTGTCGGACATGTTCCACATCAGGACATCGTTCATTGTCACAACAAAAAGAAAACATAGAATGCGTTCAGAGCCTAAATACGCGCGTAGCATTTCCCCTTTTAACAAATACACTTTATCAAGAGATCTGTGTAGGTTGTGAATAGCTAAATTGCGTATATGCTCCATTGTCAGTAAAACTTTATACGCAAAATCCGTGTGCGGCAAATAGCATATTGTATGCTCAGGCATTATTTTCTTATATTTGTAACGATGGCTATATTTTTTTCTCTAGGTGTAGATAAGAAGTTAATCGACCGAGAGCACACTTCACAGTGGACGCGATGAGACTGCTACCTTCTTATATGGTCGGAACATTTATAGTTCTTCTAGGAAATGCCTCACCCTCGCGACTCCGAAGACAAATACCAGGTACAGTATGGCCCCCGGATCTTGTTGCGCTGTGCTAATAGTGTAGGCGTATTCATGAGCCCGAGGCTGTGATTCCATCTTGGGTGATTCCATCATTTTATACGTGTGGTGTGTACTTTATAGTGCACGGCAATACTGTGAATGAGGTCAGTTGTGGCAATGGAAACCTCTATAACCAACCATATTCCATTTCTAACGAGAAACATCCCCCGATGTAAGATATCATGAGATATAGTGTTAGCACTTCCATCAGTATAATAGGTGGAATCGATGCGCAAGGATAGGCGATACGCCAAAATGGTGTGACATTCGCAGGCCGCTACGTTTTGTATGATTAATATTTCTGCGTGCATTGATTGCTTCAGGCGATGCGTGCAGTTCTAGTCCCTGTGATCACGGCAGTACGTGTGTGAGCGTGAATGCGAGCACGTTCACCTGCGAGTGTCCTTACGGACGAGCGGGCGATAGATGCGAGACAGTCATGCAGCCGTGCTACCCGAACCCGTGCAAGAATAAAGGCATATGCACTAGGTCGGTTATACCATCTATATCAATATCCGTAGAGGATATAATACTTATTTTCCTGTCTATGCATTTTCAAAAGTATACGTATTATCAGGAGTGTATAATATATATATATGTATATATATCATATACACTCGTGGTATTATTCTCTCTTGACTATTTCTATATCTGATTCTATATCTTAATTGTGACGGTATATAGCTGAAGAATGCACGCCACTGGGAGAAAATGGAGAGGAAGAGAAGGGAGAAGAAAAAAGAAGAAGTAGGAGAATAATAATAATAAGAAGCAGAAGAAGAAGAAGAAGAAGACGAAATATGAGGAGGAGGGTGGGGGAGGAGAAGGAGGAGTGGGAGGCGGAGGAGAAGGAGGAAGAGGAGAAAAAGAAAAAAATGATGGAAGAAGAAAAAGAAGAAAAAAACGAAGAAGAAGAAGAAGGTGATGATGATGAGAATTGTGTTGAGGAAAAAGGGAAAGGAAACGAAGAAGATATATTATATGGTCTCGCTACCTGAAACGCTACGATTGCCGGTCTGCTGGACTGATAATGGTCTAGCCAAGCAAGCTCTTCACTGCAGTTGAGGTCAATGTACTTTGTGAAAGTGCATGCGGTGAAAATACGAGCATTCACGCCCCAAACCCCCAAGACATATGTATTATACAGCACACCTTTAAATTCACAGTTCTTGCTGATGCCAAAAGACGATGCATGTGTTTCTAATCACTGCGGTGAAATGGTTCTTCCAGCAAACTGCGCTTCTCGCGGCTTTATGTCGTACAGTTCAAGAAAGTATACAAATATAATAGTTTGTTTATACTATATGTAGATACGAAATGTGTTACGACACAAGACGCAGAATGGCACGCGAAGTTACATTTCGCTCTAAAAAAATAAGTTAAACAAAGTTATTAAGATTTCTTCTTTTTTTGGAGAATTCAAACAACAGATTTTCACACGATGAAGTGGAAAATTATGAATTTAAACGTACACACAGTGTATAGACGATTATAATGTATGACACGTATGCTCAGAACGTCTCTATGAGACGTAAATATACTGCCTCTACCCTGTGTTGGTTCGACGAGCCTACCACTCAATGCTATTGAGTTTGAGAAGTTAGCGACGAACTATATAAAGCATAGAATCATTGGTTCTTATTAATCATATTTCATATTATTATGGGAATCATGTGTCCTAATATTTAATAATTAGGAAAAATATTTATAGGTAATTTTAATAACTTATCTCAAGTAGTCTATAAATAATAGCATGATTTTCTACGGTGCAGGGACGGGCCGGATGGACTAGGCTACGTCTGCAAATGTCGTCACGGGTTCACCGGCAGGCAGTGCGACAGCCGCGAGAACCCTTGTCTCGACGACCCTTGCGAAAATGGCGGCACCTGTTATCGGTAAGCAAATTACACATTGACTTGTCGCCGTGCGTTAGCGAAGGTTGCACGCGTGCATGTGCTTTGCCTAATCCTTGGTATTTCTTTTCGTAGGGTAGCCGATGTAACCGTGCCGTTCCAGTGCACGTGTCCGGTTGGCTTCAAGGGCCAGCGATGTGAGTTCCCGGACGAGCCCTGCTCGCCGCACCCGTGCAAGAACGGCGCGACATGTCACAACACCAGGACGCAGCTGGAGCGACTATTCTACTGCGAATGCCTGGCAGGTTTTACTGGAACAACGTGTGAGGAACTGAGCGTCGATGAGGTCCCGTTAGGTACGAGACTGTTAAAATAGTACTGCCCCTTGCCGCCACCTACTACCTGGTGTCGGTTGCTTTGTAATGTTGTTTGTAAATTTAATTTTAATTTATGTATACACATGATATTCATTGTTTCTTAATGATATATATTATATATATATATATATATATATATATATATATATATATCTTTTATATTATTATTATTATTATTATTATTATTATTACCTATATATATATTCTTAATGATATATATAGTGTAGGAATTAAAACAAGAAATGCAGCTGGTGGCAATCAATAATAATCGATGGGCATCGACTAATTTCCATTTGAACTGATATGTAACGACTGATGTATTTTCAGATTATAACCCGTACAGCCCACACGGCTCGGATAACTATATCCATGCTGATACGCAAAGCATAGAAGAGCATTGGCGAGCGCTACTACGCAAATACACACCTAACCCGACGATATTGTTCTAACTGGAAGTTGTAGTTGGTTTTGTACAATACGACACGTGATTCAAAATTATATTTCTTTTCATATTTCTTATAGCATTGAAGTTTGTATCATCTTGTTTTGTTATGTCCTGCGCAGTTTGCAGATTCCATGCGCAGTAGCGCAGTGTATGAAAATGTGTATATTGATTTGGTTGTACATACAATGTAACATGCATGCCGTGTAGACGCATTAAAACATCGAACAATGTGATAGTTTCTGACTATATGTACAGTTAATGTTATCAGAAGGCTATGCAAATCAAGCTTCGCTTGATGGTATGATTAGTGAAACGCGTGTTCTATGCGCGGTATCTTGCGCATCAGCGACATCAATAAATAACACGGTATAAACATCCGCGTAGCAGCGGAAACCAGTTGCACAACGGTTGGTGAAATCAGTTCAACTATAATTATTTATACAGGTAGGTTAATTATGATTCTTATTGCGCAAGCAATTCATAAACAGTATGCATATACGAGGCTTAAAAACGCCATGGTGTTTATAACAATGACTTAATTATTATACATATTCAAGAGTTTTACAATAAACACAACTCGGACAAAAACGATGTTTGCAATTTGTGTGATAATCTCAACGTATGGTTAAAAATTAATTGCAGTAAAAAAAACATGTTAAAATAATGCAATGTAGCAAATAGATAAATATTATTAGAAATTTGTTTTAAAATGACTTCAGGCAGTATGCTCTCACTACTGATCGCATGAATACGTACATGTGCCACCTCTAGTGGGGATACCAATAGGTTACGTTCTCTTAGAAAATGTTATTATGTTCCGTAAGCTACAACAATCTTACAACAAAAAAGAAATAATTATATTTATCCGTAAATATTATTTAACTGTCAACATTCTAATTTAGCATTAATGTTCACATATTCTAGCTGGAACTAATAGTTAACTATAAAATATTGCAATCCTCATCGTTTTAAACTAATACATTCTGTTCTGTCTTCGCCTGTTCGTGTCTAAGAAATTCTGTTAAGATATTTCTAGTGGCTAAAAACTTTAGCTCAACTCCGCTAGAGGCAGCACAGGTACGGGCATCTTGCAAACGACAAACTGCTGAAAATGTTATAGGGGAATTAATTTCTCACTTCAATCGTACTTCACCAATAAATTATGACGAAATTAAATGTTTGTAAGGTTGCACGTTTAAACTTGCTTATGCATCCACGAAAGGCATAAAATAATTTTGTAGTTTTACGTTTACTCTTGTTTTATCCATCTAGTGAGTATAACTTACGGGCATATATAATAAACAGATTATTCTATTTGCTGACCACTATGTTTTGTCAAGAGATGCCGCAGCTGTCACCAGTGCTGATTCGAGGAGCTTAATTAATCACTACCATTAACCAGAACCGCGCGTCTATGCGAATTTTTAACTGGTAGTAGGATGGACGTGTTACTAATTTTAAAGTTCTTACTTCATGTTTATAACATTCAATTAATTACTGTTCAATTTATTCGAATTATTTTTTAACTGATTGTGAATACTAATTGTGATTTGCTGCAAATTAGTTGAATTAATTTCGCATGATTGTATTTTTAAGACAAAAACGATTTAAGTGAAAACTATCCTACAACATTGCATATGTAGCATCATTTATACACTAATATCTGTAGTCAATTCCTAATTCTGCGTTTATGTTACACTCTACATATTAAAATGTTTAAATTTTTCATGTTAAATTTGTTATATATCTCTGCAAATGAAAGTATGTTTAGGCTTGTGTTTAATATAAAAACATTTGGTTTAGCACGTAAATACTACAATAATGATATTTATGTTATATATATATGTGATGTTCGTTTATTATGATACATACAAAGATATAAACAATACAATGATACATTTACAAAATGGCCTTACAATGTCACAATTGCTTAACACATGTAGTTCAGAAGTCAAAGGTCAAGGGTCAATTTGACAAGCGACTAAACAGTTCGTTATCATCTGGCTCGTTGGTTTTTGAGATACGATGAGACACGTCCGATCTTCCGAGTTACCTTTAATCCCATTAAGCGATAATCGGTTTAAAAGCGTTAGTTTTCCTGTAATAGGAATTCTATTTGATCGAGAAGCCTCGACAAATTTTTTCAAACATGTACCCAATCATTCATGGCTGACGCTGTACGAAGGGTATCATGAGCGCATATAATCATTGATGCACCGCTACACTATATGTAGGAACAACAAAACAATGCGCTCAGAAATGTTAGTTCTTATCAATAAACCTCGTTGATTACGTTAACGGTTCTATTTCATTCAAGTTCAACCCTGATAGCCTACGTTTTGCCTTTGACCGTACCCACCGGAGCGCGGCTGCTGAAAACTCTGAGTTTGCCTCTGTCCATAACCACCGGTATGCTGTCTGGCGGATGATGGCAGTTGGCTTCTTGGTCCCGAGTGAACAGGCAGGTCGTCGAGTTTCACCGGAGAGTAGCGGACATTACCTTTGTTGTTGCGCTCGAACCCATATCCGGCACCCTGCTCGGTCTTGCCCTCTCCGCTGGCGTCCTGCTTGAACTGCTGCGTCGCGTCCTGATTGGCCGTGCGCGATGCGGCCAACTCGATGCCGGCCTCTCCGGATCCGGTGCCCTCCTTTACGGCCGAGCTCGTCTCCGTCTGGCGTGCATAGCCGGAGCGGAATCGCTTACCGATGACGATCTGTTCCTGCTGGGCCTGGTTGATTGACTCGCGCGGTGCGAGCGCCTGTGCGCTGGAGCGGGCGTTGTTAAAGTCGAATTTGTCGACGTCGACGTATTGGCCGCCGAAATTATCAAAGCCGAACGAGTCGCTGTCGATGTTGCCGAACGACTGCACGTTGATTTGTCCTCCTCCGAAGCTTCCTACTCCCGTGCCGGCGGACCTGGAACCGCCAGAGGAGAAGCCGGTGTTGCGAGTGAACTGCCGTTGTTGCTGCTGCTGTGGTACGAACTGCTGCACCTGCTGCTGTGGTATGAACTGCTGCACTTCTTGCTGCACCTGCTGCACCTGCTGGACTTGCCGTACGGGAGCGGGACGCACGTTAATGCCTCCGCCCGATCCGGTGTTGACGTTACCTCCCCTGTTGAAGCCCTGGTTGATACCGCCTCCTCTATTGAATCCGCCGTTGAAACCGCCTCCACCGATTCCTCTGCCGCCTCTGAAACCACCGCCTCCACCGATTCCTCTGCCGGGTGTGTTTGCTGTCAGGAGTGAGGGCTGTGTATGTGAATAAGGGTTGTGGCTCCGGCAAGCGCGATATCTCAGCTGGCTCCGCATCAAATGAGAACTGCGGCATTATCGGCGATGATGAATCTAGAGGACGCTAATAATTGATGGCGTGGTATATACGGCGGTCATAAACAGCCGCAGAATCTTCTACCTCAACATGAACGCTAGTTAGAGAGGTTCACGATATGTTTTATCGGCAAATGGGACTCGACGTGCGGCTTGGCGACAGCAGCGTTTATTTGTAGCCGTGGACAAATGTACATGAATAGTATTCATGCATGTACGTCATGAATGCGTATATATATATATATATATATATTATATATATATTATTTACTATATATTATAGTATAGATATAGCAGCTATAG